ATCTTTAAGCTAGTCAGAATAACAGGTTATTATTTTTTTTAAATCACTTAACACTGAACAGATAGGACCTCTTAAAAGGTAGCTGACTATACCATGTCACCATCATAGCCAATAAAACATTTTTTCCATACTTCCTAAAAACCTTTTGTTTATACTGATCATGCTACTTTAGCACTTGCTAGCATCCCGACCAAATAAACACCCACACCTCTTATAGAGTACATTGTGAGAGAATAACATTGACTCGATATGGCATCACACTTGTTTTAAAGCAAAAAAAAAAAAAATTATAATAATAATAAAAGAAGTCCAAGATGAGAAACTGTAACTGAGAGAGAGAGATCTGAGGTACATGGTACAAGGGTAATGAACATAATGGAAAAAATCCAATGGCCCAGTGATTTGCTGGGGATTTAAGAGTTGGCCAGTAAGAACTAAAACCAATTAAAAATAAGAAACAAAAAAATTTTTTTAAGGACAGGCACCTGTCAAAATACATTGGATACTGTAATGGCTACAGTCAGTAAGGCACTTTTTTCCCCAAAGTGGGCTGCAGGCAAAGGAGTAAATGCCGCAGCTCCAGCATGCATGTGTCCATTTGCTGATGGCTTCTTGAAACCTGAGCCAAGAATCGGGTCTGACTGCCCAGCCAAGTCTAAAAGCAGAGACACACAAATGTAGGAGAACAGTTCTGGCTGAAATGACCGTTCTGGGTTGTTCAGAATCCAGAATCGTGAAAAGCCACATGGTATGAGGAAGTCATAAACATCCTCTTGAATCTTCCTGCCCTATTTTGTACAAACTGACGACAGCCTGAGCAGCTCTTGACAGCTGCCCGGAGCCCGCACCGACAGAAGCCTGCACCCACCACAGCTCCGGAGTACGCTGGCTTAGGGGACTTCACCGTCTCAGCACTAATTTCCCTTTTAAAGCTATGCTCAGGGTTGGACTGTCTCAAAGATAAACAAAGAGGACTCCTTTTGGCTTAGAAGCCAACTGGCTTACTCAGCCCTCCTCCCATTCCTACGTCCCATTCCCACACTACCAATATTATCTTCTTGAACTAGAAAATCATTATTTACAGGATATAAGGTGCAAGTCTATTTCTTCTCCCATCCCTGCCCCCTGTGACCCAAGGAGAGAAAATTCCTCTGCCCTCTTTGAGAAAGTCACTCAATCCTGCCTAACATGCTTAACCTGTGGGTTCCAGAGCTCCCAGGGTGGGCTGGAAGGGCCCCACAGGCGCCGGGCCACGGGAAAGCTACGGCTGCCTCTGAAGAGCAGCCCGCTCTGCTCGCAGAGCATCGCGGTGTGCCGCGGTTGGGGCTGCCTCTCCGGGCCGCGTGGGCCCCTGACCTGGGGGCTAAAAGAGGCAGGAGAGAGCCTCTTGCACAGCAATCACAGGGGTCTGGCTGTAAGAGATGGTGAGCTCTTCAGTGGGGTCCTGGGGCAGTTCCAGAATAAAGCGTCCTCTAAGAGAAGCCCCTTCTCAGAGGAGCTCTCCTCTCAGCACAGGGGAGACATTCTGCCGAGGGATCTGTCCCCTGCGTCCACCTGCAGGCTGCATGACTGTTAGGAACCCGCACGGACTGAATTATGCTTAGCATATATTTTTGGCATACTAGGATTTTCCCCCCTAGGATTTGGCCAAAATAGGGGAACAAACAAAATTTGGCAGGCTAGGGGAACAACTTAGCCCCCACTGATGGAGAAATAAAAGAAGAAAAAAAAAACCACAGAGAGGAGGAAGTAAAGAAGAAACAGAAAGACAACAAGGTAAAAAAAAAAAGACCAGAATAGGTTTGGAACCCCCTTTAGATGGAGATGAGAAAGAGAAAAAAAAAATCCATGGGGAGAATTGAACTCCCCTGGGACAGAAATTCCTACAAGGAAACCAAGAACCAAGATCAAGAGGGTATTAGCCACTTTAACAAATCCAGGGTTCCTTCTTTTGTTTAAGGAGGGAGCAAGAAGAAAAGCCAATCTAGCACCTTCCCCATCATCAACCCCACACCTTCTATCACTCTAAGCCCCGGGAAGGAGAAGCAGCTAGAAGGCCCCAGTGGTACCCGGGGCTCCAGGAAAAGTGGAAAGTTACAGATGCAGGGAGAGTCTGTAGGCCTGTTCCCTTCCTTATTTGTCAGGTTCTCTCATTTGCTGCTTCAGTTTGAGCTTAGAGGCTCACTGTTAAATGAATCTGCACCATGTTTTCTCTTTAGGCTCCAAGACTCCCAAGAACTCTGGAGACCATGCCTTTTTCCATTCTGTGGGACTCCTCAGGGCCCAGAAGAGAGTCCTGTGCAAAGTGGGCTCTTGAGAAAACACTGGCTGCTCAGCTTTCCTCTCCAAAACTTCGGAATTCACCACCCACTGCCCCACCAGAAACTCCCTAGAATTTTAGGGTCATGCTAACTCACCAAATCCTGAACCCTTCTAAACACACTCCAAGAGAGACTGACTCATCTAGAATTGCATCTCTGTAGAGAAGCAGCCTTTCCACCTCCCTTCCACGACCAACCCAATACTCATCTGGCCTATTTTTTCCAATCATGCCAAATCAATGCGATTTAAAACCCGAAAACCACTGAGTGACCCTCAGCAGAGGACCTGGCCTCGCATAGTGCTTGCCTGTTGGCAGTCCGAGACTGGTGGGAGAAGGAACCTCCGCAACACTGCCTGCCACAGATTCACGTACCCAGATTCAGACTTAGAAAACCTCTGAGATGATCCTAACCTGGGGATGCCCATGTCAGGGAAGGGAAAAGAGAATGGGGAAACTTTCAAGATGAAAGGACCCTAAGCAGATGAAAGGCCTGCTTTAGAAAGGGCCTTCAGGTGAGGATTTCCAAATAGCCTGCTGGAATTCTTTTTCGTCTGTCTCCTGATACCTGGGACCTAAGTGCAAATTGTGACTTCCTAGTCCTGCGTCAGTGTTTGTGCTGAAGGGTCTGCCTTGGGGGGGGGGGAGGGGAAATCCCTTGGTTCAATTGTATTTTTTCCATCATGATGAGGATACCGGAGTCAAAACGGAAGCCCGATGACCTTCATGACTGACCAGGTCCCTGGGTGTGAGACCCTGGGGACACTCACCCCTCCTTCCACCTGAGAGGGGCACGCAGCCCCCTCCCGCCCCTTTCTCCACACTAATGGGCTCCCAAGCAGAAACTGTACGGTTGTGAGGTATTATGAAAACAAAACTGTGAATCATTGTCTTTTGTAGCTATTGATTTTGTCCAGTAAACCTGAGGTAAAGAATACTCTGTCTTTGAAGAATGTGATCAGAGAGGAAAAAAAAAAAAAAAAAAAAACCCATGAATATGCTACCAGAAGAAAACAAACTACGGAAGGGCTTTTCCAGTACGAAGAACTCATATCTCAACCATCTACTTCAGGACTTGGAATTTAAGCAGTAAAATAATATATTATAAAAATGTTTATAAAATAGCAGCACACTCTGTGAAACCTTACAGCTAGGTTCTGTTAACGTGAATAAGGATGAATGATCTTAGCTTCTTAGCAGCGCAAAAAAAAAAAAAAATAATAAAAACTGAACACAATAAAATGAAAAATAAGAGACCCTTAGATTTTTCTCCATCCTCAACCCTCATACTACGAAACAAGGCAGAATCTGTGTATAAAATAATTCTTCAAGGTAGCCCTGTTCTGATTTTTCTTTTTTACTTAAAAAAGGCAAATATTTTAATAGCTTCATTACCTGTCAATTAATAATTGTGCAAAAAAAAAAAATTGTTGCTCCAACCTCTTTGCTAACTGAATGCATCTAAGAAGTGGAAAGGAAAAAATTCAAGTACGCTGAATACAACTTTGCAATGAAATTAACAAAAAACGGAAAAGGGAACAAAAGCGGCACTGTGATGCTCAGCTGTCCGTCTTTGCCCAGCAATAACTTTTCTTTCCATGTCCAGAGAAGAAGTATATGGGTGGGAATTAAGATCCTTCTGTGCCATCAAATTGGTAACAGATCTTTGTTTTTAGGCTTTTCTGAGGAATGTTGTGATGGGAATGTCAGCGGAAAGGGGTGTCTCTCGAGTCCCGGCAGGGATACCAGAACTATGTACCAAAGAACGTCAGATACCAGAAGTGAACAGTTACCCGACCAGGGTCAGGAGGGAAAGGGGCAGAGGAGAAAAAGGGGAGGAGTCTCTTCAGCACGATTTGCATAAACCATCCCATCTATCCCTCGGGAACAATGTTTCAAAGTGCTTTTCGAATGGAATGGTTTATAACAATGCTACTCTGTGGACCAGACATGCCAATCAGCACCAAAAATTAGTTTTTTCCTAATAAGGGATGCCAAGGTCACATTACTGTCTTTAATACATCAAGAGAAAAGATTCCACTCCACATCCCACCCTTGATCTCCATCTGCCTCCATTTCGTCTGAGTTTTGGTTATGGCCCATAGCTAGATTGCCCGTTTAGATAAGAATACAGTGGTGTCTGCAATGAACCATGTTTGGAAGAAGAAGCAAGATGTCAAAACCGCGAAGCCCAGGATCCAATCACCTGTGTCCAACTGGCAAAATTAAACATCCTTTCTAGGTAGCAGCTACTGTAGACAGCAAGAGTTTCTAACGAGAGACCCAGCAATGCTCCTGACTTAGCAACAAACAGGTGTCCGAGAGCAAAGGTGTTTCTACATCCAAAATGGTTCGGTCACGCTGAGAGATTGGACTCCCTCCCCATCACGTCCCTCCTTATTTCTAATTCCTTCTTGAGTTCATTGCTTTGCAATCTAATCATGCCATAAGTGGCATATGCACTTCTTTGAAATTATACTAAAAGGGGTGTATATGTGCTAGTTCATAACATGAAAAAAAAAGCCTCCTCTAATTTGTTCCCATGTTGCAGGCGTACATTTTCTCTAGCTACTCTGCAGGTTTTCCTGTAAGCGTTTTACTATTACTTTTAACATAATCAAACAATAACTGTTCGCATATACAAGGGATTCCCTTCTGTTGTACTTGAAATAGGCACCAAATGCTTTTAATTATTCCATTTTTATAGGACCGTTTTCTCTCACTTCTAAAAGATCTTTCAATACGATCTAGGCGGGGGCAGAATTTTTTTTTTTTTTTTTTAAGTTTCATCCTAAAACATAAAGAACAAAACACAATCAGAGAGAAGGAGAGAGAAGATTTGAACATGTCTCTCCCGTTCGGCCCGACTGACATCCTCACAGGTCAATATCCCGCACGTCTGTAGGGGTGCTGGCTTGGTCCAGTTCATCCTCCGACTTGGATCCATCCCCCTGGTCCTGACGGAACTGCTGCAGACTGTTGAGCAGCACCACCTCAATCTGCTCCTGGCAGGCTTTGAGGCAATCCTACAAGGAGAATGGTCCAGACCAGAGCTGTTAGCGAGATCAACAGTGCACAGAGCATTTCATGAAGAAAACATACACAATTCAAGCCTTGCATAATTCCGTGCTAGTTTTCCAGCAGAAATAACTATGAAGTGAAGGAGATGTGTTCGTGCAGTGCCATGGAACCTCACTCCTCCAGGTGGGGTCCGTGGGCTGGCAGCATCAGCATCACCTGGGAGCTTGTTAGAACCGCAGACTCTCAGCCCACTCCAGATCAATCTAATCAGAACCTGCATGTTAGCAGAAGCCCGGGTGATTGGGATGCACGTGAGACTCTGAGAAGCGCTGGCCTAGATGAGGAGCCATTTATGGACATGGAGCACCTGGTGAACAAAGGGCCAACCAGATGCTTTCTGCTTGGGGAAGTTGGGAGGAGACAGAGAAAAGAGGACAGCCAGGACTACAGACAGTGCTCCAGGACCAGACAAATGTAGGATGTGAGGAATAGATAAGAAGGAAGAGGATGGATTGAACGGTACTAACCTTCACAGAAACTGCATTAAGCGCTTAAAACGAAAAAAAATCTGTTTTTCTGCTTATTTGCCACTCCCTCAACTCTGATAAAAATACAACACAGAATGTTTACAAAATTCTGGACACTTGAGCTGTCCAGTTTGGGAATACGCAAGAATTTGCAGCATTGCTTTGATATTAGTCTATATTTGGTAGGGAAAATTTGGAGCGTGTTTGCCCCAGGCAGAAGCTTCTGTTAGTTGGATGCCATGGCAATTCGTGGTGTCACGAGAAAGGGATGATGGTTCAGACTAGCAAGTGGTGTGTGAGCTCAAGAAACTGCTCCTAGTAGATACTTCCCAGCCTCTCTCCTCTGCAAGGCCGCCTTTCTGCACTCCCTTACCGGCATATACATATGGGAAATCTGTTAGATGGATCCTGCCTGGGTCTTCCCACAGTTTAATATATGCTTCCCTCTTGTCTGTTCCACTGTGCAATTTTCACTGCCCAGAAGTTAATGTTTGCCAAGCACAAAAGCATTATCTTTATTTTCCGAAGATCTAAAATAAAGGTGGAGTTAACGACTGAGGAACCAAGTTTCCATTGCCCCAAATTTTCCCTTCCTATCTGTCGACCGTTTCAAACTTCCAACTACAGCTTTTTGTGAAAATTAAAATTAGGGACAAGAGCAGCCTGAGTGCTAAGGGCAGAGATGAAATCTCACCTGGAGTGTCAGAAGGAAGAGAGGGAAGGTGGCACTTGCTAGTCACCCGCCACACTTGCGGGCAGCAGCTACGTTACTGAACTTCTCTGTCACTTTCCTCACTTGTGAAATGAGGATAACAAAGTGGTCACAGAGTGACGATCCACTGAGGCCACATATACAAAGTGCTAAGTTCAATAAATGATAACCATTTATCGTGAACAGCAATAAATCAGTCCTGGAATCTGAAAGAATTCTTTAGATTTCTTTAAAATGGGGTACAGATTAGCATTTGGTCCAGATTGGTGAAGGGGCCACTGTGTGTCTGGCACCAGGGATTGAGTGTCGAACAAGACAGACCCTGCCACAGAGGCCTGTGTGCCACCCTAAACAAGCTGAGGAGTCGGGGACTGGCAAACCACGGACATCTCTCAACCTTTTCCGTGGCATCTACTGCTCACGGCCTCCACCCTGTCTGACCCCCTGAACCTGTGATTAGAAACCTATGGCCTTGCCTGGCCCCTTGCCCTGGTCTTTCCCATGCTCCTCCTCTGGGGCCCAGCCTGCAGCAGCTGTGCTCCTAGCTCACTCACCACTTCCCGAAGGCGCTTAGGTGGTGAAGGATGAAGGCATATGCTTCTAAGGGCACTTGCATTTCAGCAGAAGATATCTAAAAACTTTAAAGCCTTATAATCTACAAAAGTCAATCTTAAAAAGCCAAAGCTACTGGCAAAAAATGCCTATCGTCCAAACTACTCTTGAGAAGGTCCTCCATTAAGAGACCGACAGTGAGTCCAACTCTGTCAGTTTTCCTTTCAAAGCTGAAATAGACAGCTCGTTCTCCATTGGAGCACCATCTGAAGGAGCCGACTTGTTCTTAGGGGCCATGTTGGCAGCATAAAACCATCTTCAAACTCTGGAATCTTCCTAAGATGCCCCCACCCCCAGAAGTGAGCAGGAGCGGAGACGCAGGAGCACAGCAACGGGTCTCACGTCTCAAGCACCTTCCTTTCCTCCCGTGCACCCCTTACTGAGGAATGCTGAGCCACAGAGTTTACGTGAATATTATTTTCCTCTTTCTTTTTTTTCTTGCAGGTACTAATGAGCTGAATCCAGGCAGCTCCTGTGTGAGGTCCCCCACTACAGAGGTCCTTGAGGAGCTCTTGAAGATATGTTTAAAATTTTTTTCTAGGAGGCAGGGGGAATGAATCAGAGCCCCTCCGTAGCATAGAGATAGTAACTGTATGCTTGTCTCCGTGGAAGGCAAATCCTACCAGAGCATACAGCACGAAAGAGCTTCTGCTATCTAAAGAGGATGGCAGGATTCTCAGCTGACTGAGGGACGATAGATATGTGTTTTGTGTACAGACAGATGATAGCCCTGAACCATTAAATTAAATTAAAAAACAAATGCCTCTTAGGTGCCAGCAATGAGGGCTTTTTAAAGAAAGCTTCACGTGGCACAGCAACTTGGTGAAGACTTGCTGATACGAAGTTCGTGTGGAAGCCAATGCCCCCCAATAAGAAACCCAGAGCCTCCTGGCCAATCCTGTCTGGCTCTCCTTCAGAGGCTCTAATTTGGCCCCACAGAGAGGTAATCTGGGTCAGCACACTTTCCACCTCAGTAACAGGAGCAGCTCAGGACGCCATGATCATCGCTACGTTAGCTCACCAGCATCCCTGAGATGGATAGTCCTTCAAATGAGGAGACAGGGGCTCCAGATAGCTAAAGAACTTGCTTTCAGGCCATGCAGGGTCTTCCCTTTGGAGTCGTCAATGTTCCTACTGTTGCTGGTATTCGGCCTCCCCTTCTAGCAGCCTGAGCTCTTAACGGGACAGTTCTGAGGGCTGGGACATTTGCCAGTCACTTCTACTGGACTTTCAGAGCCATGGGACTTCAAGATATCACATGTATCAAGTGTCACATTTATGTAATTTCCAGCCAAGAACACATGTATAGGCTTTTCTGAATAAAATGAAGGAAGATTTCATATAAAACATATACTCTCTTTCCTTTCTTCAGCCCCATTTTAACTTCAATCTAAATTATTACTATGGCCAGCTCTTGATCTTTGATACCTCTTACTTGAAGGGAAAAATGATGACTACAGCAGTTACCCCAGAAATGAAGGACCCTGAACCCCATTCCCTGCTCTCTTCTAGATTCATCTGTGACACAGCAGGAAGCTAAACCTCTCTGTGGTAAACCATGTCCCCCATTCCTGGAAAGCTCTCTGCCTAACCCTCCTTCACGTTCCACTTGTTCACAACTTGGCTATTACCAGCTCAATTTTCAACTGTGTAGATCTCTCGTTCTTAGCTGGATGAAAAACTCCTTAAGGGGAAGACCCTGTCTTGTATTCACAATGTTGAACATTCTACTCTGAGATGGTGGCGAGAAAGAAATCAGCATCCCCCTTCCTTGAGAGAGAGCTCACTATCTGCATTTTGATACCCTCATTTAGCACCGTAGGAACCCTTCTTGGACTTGCAACGAGCATGCGAATTTCCTGTGAGCTGGTGGAAAGTGAAGGAAGAGAAGAACGTGTGGTGGTGCCATTACCTTCAATCAGACACGCCAACTCCACACGGCCCCATTCTTGCCCAAGGAGCTCCCAGTCTCCCAAGGAGCAGGGCAGCAGGGTGCCTGGGACTGGGGTGGGGAGGCGGTGACCTGCGGGAAAGAAGAGCCCTGCCTCAAATCCGCAAGGCTGCTTGTGCCAGGAGGCCAGGAGAGAAGGAAATGGAAGGGAGGCACGTTGAAGAGCCTGAAGCGAAAAGGAGGCAAGGCTGGAGAAGAGTGGAGTTACAGTATTCCCAAAGGGCAGAATTATAAGACGACACACACGGATAATTACAGAATGTGAGAATTTGGGGGTCCAAAGGGCTTTTGGAGATCAATCAAACAGCCAGATGCTCTCATTTTACAGCTAGAGGACTGAACTGAAGCCTGGCTCGTCCCCCAGCTACATCTAGTTAGAAGCTAAGCCTGCCCTTAGAAGGGCAAGCCTTCAATTTCAGAACTCTTTTCCCTATGAACTTCTGCTTCTTCCCAGCTCTAAGTAAAGACATACAGGGCAGAGAATCTCCAAGAAAGGGAGACACAGCCCAAGTGGCCGGAAAAAACCCGACAGAGCCTCCAATGAAAAGATGCTACGTGCATGTAAAGTGCAGCGGCTCTGGGACCTCTGCTTTCCGGCAGCCTCCCAAAGCACCAGCCATTGTGTTAAGATGCCCCAAATTAAGCTGATTAAAAGGAGAGCCATAATGCTCGTCTGTCAGCCTGGACAGGTGGCACTCCACAGCGCTGGAGGTCGGGCAAGCCTCCAACTTCGATGATGATAGGCCCCTCCTCTGCGCGCCCCCAGCCTCGGAGCCCTGACAGCAGTGTTTGTGATCTCCGGCTTGTTACACGGGCCTCCGACTTCCTCTGCTCGCTGGCTCGAGCTCTGCGCCCTGCACCCTCCTCGGCCCCCATGAATGGGCTGACGGAACTCCTCCCATTAGCCCCCAGTGTATCTGCATCACTCCATTGTCACCACACACGCACTGCACTCAACACGGGGACAAAGGGCTGAATGAGCCCCGGACCCCGGCCAACTCAGGCAGAGACAACTTAGGAAACTATCTCATTCTGCCTTTCTTCACAGGCTGTTTGGCCGATTTCCTTGCATACCAAATGAGGCCCGCAGGAAAAATAAGGCAGGAGAGGGAAGCACCAGCTCCAATTCTATCCCCTCCACCGCCCCACCCCCAGCTCCCCTCCCGGCAACTCTTCACAAGGTTCTCGACCACAGGCCCTGAAAAGTTCACCAAGGATGGTCTCAGTGATACAGGGGGCTCTAGAACAAGGTGTGTGTGAGAGGACTGGTGTTTCTAGCTAAGAAGGACCAAGACACACGGCTGGGGAACAGCATCTCCCACAGAGAACAGGTGGTCAACATCCAGGCTTCTTCCACGGCACCACTAAATGTTTGATAATAGCTCAGACAACCAGGATCATAGCATGCCAGGACAACCCTAAGCAAGAAGATCCTGGCATCTTCTCTGGGCAATATTTTAGAATATGAGAGACTTTAGACGTAACCTAGGTAGAAAAGGATAAATATAATGGCCATGTGACTAGAGCTTCTGTCTGTTCTGTTCAACAGCTTCCAGAAACTTCACAACATCTTCATGGCTTGTGAGCCTCAATTCTACTTTTTCCTTAGTGAATTATTTAGCAAAACTGTGTCACGTGAAAATGAAGCGACTTGTTCTAAGATAAAATCAGGTAAAACTCAGAAGACCCTGACATATAATTTATGTGAAGAAATACCTTTCCAACAGACACGGGGAGAGCAGAGAATGAGAAAAACACTCGAACCCCATCTGCCACCCTTTGTCCTCCGTTCTGTCCTTCTCCCTCCCTCCCTCTTCAGCATCATTCCCCAGTGGCTCTGCCAGGGGCTCGGGATAAAGAGCTGAGTAAAACTTGGGTGTTGTTCAAGAGGTTCTATAGACAAGTGAACAGTGAGATAAACGCTGGCACACAGCGTGAGCAGAGTGCCCGGGGACGGAAGAGGAACCCCGATTCAGCAGGGAGAGGTTCACTGGGGAACCGGGACAGTCGATCCCCCTCTCAAACTTACCCTTGGCAACGGAAGCCCCGGTAGAAGTTCCCCTAAAAGCCAGAACTGCTTCTCTGGCTGGTGTCTGTTTTTAGCAACACTTACGAGTGGAAGGAAAAAGTACTTAAAATATACCACCCTCTGAGACTTTCATTCCCTGTAAAACTGTCAGGCTTCTCACTCAGCTTTCTCTTTGGAATGAAGCGTTCCGGTTTATTTTGGCAACGAGAGGAAGCAACAAAGACCAGCTTTCTTAGAGCTGCATGGGTCCCTCCTATCAAAGCTATCTGCCGCTGGCCAACGAGCCCAAGAGACTCGTCTGGCGTTTCAAAGGAATCAGGGTGAAACCCTCCTTCAACAATCTGATCCTTGCCAATCCATGGGCAGAGAACACTGTAAGCTTGCAGAGGTCACAAACAACAAGGTGCCCGGGCAAGCACAGAACGGCAGGGATCCTAGGGTGAAACGTCAGCTCTTCCTGATTCCTATGTGTTAGTGCATTAGAGCCAGGGGGACAAAATGCGGTCCGTGTCTGTGTGTGTGTGTGTGTGTGTGTACATATGTACTTTTTTTATTGTGGCAAAATATACATAACATAAAATTTACCATCTTAATCATTTTTAAGCATACAGCAACATTAAGTACATTCACATTGTTGTGCAACCATCACTACTCTTCATCTCCAGAACTTTTTCATCCTCCCAAACTGAAACTGCATCCCCACTAAACACTAACTCCCCCATTTCCCTCACAGCCTGGGCCCTGGTAACCTCTATTCCACTTTCTTTCTCCACGAATTTGATTATTCTAGGTACCTTGTCTACGTGGAATTATATAATATTTGTCTTTTTGTGCCTGGCTTATTTCACTGAGCATGTTTCCATGGCTCACCCACGTTGTAGCGTGTATCAGCCAGGTTGAACAGTGTTTCCTTGCATGTACATACCACATTTTGTTTCTCCATTCCAAGGATATTTTCTATCACCAAGTTTACTCTGCCGGGAGGCCTGTGTTTTTACATCAGGCCTGGTGAGCTCCTCCCTCTGAGGTGATTTCCTACTGCATTTATAGATCTAACACATTTTCTGGTACCTGTTCATTTACGATCTTCATTTGCTAGGGTGTTACACGCTTTACTCTTGATACTCCCTAGCATTGCTAGGTTCCTTGAAGGCAGGAGCCTCATCTTTCACTTCCCACGCACCAGCCACCCACCCCAACTTCTGCCATGCCTTGGCTCCATGACTGGCTCATCTATTATGGCTTGCTCATCATGCAATAGTCTGCAACAAGTGGGCCTTTAATAAATACTTGCAGAAACGAATGGAGAGGGAGTGCTTGCAATACACCACTTCTTGACTCACGAAATGGTAAACAGAGCTCAGGAAGCAAAACTCACCTCCCTCCAAATGCTAACGCCTTCCAAATTCTAGTCCTTTCATATGCCTTCACTCTGGGCTTCAGCTCTTCAGCACACACAGGCTGGTGGATGGGGGCAGGCTCAGCACTTGGAAGTTAGGCACACACAGAAAGCCCAGCCCGCTGCTGCGCAAGCCTTTCCACTAAGAACGCTCCCAGGGAGAGAGTGAACCAGCCTCTGGGGAGCAGAGGTAAGCTTGGAATTTACTGAGGTCTCAAGATGTTATCTGAAACAGTGGTATGAATTTTATATTCTACTATGTTCATGCGTGGGTTTTAATATTAAAATGTTTAACCCTGGGTCCACTGGTGAGAATGAGGCACATGCCTGCATCTCCAGGTTAATAGCTGGGATTTATTTATTGGAGGAGACCTCTAAGCTGGTTTTGTATCCATTCAACTCAGTCTGACAGCTGACTTGAACAGACTGGCTACATAGTATCTGGAAAGGGCCAGCAGTTTCTCCGGGATGAAATGAGAGACTGGATTGCAGTCCTGAAAAGCAAAGCATAGCCCAAGAGCCTCAGTGGCACCCCAGGAGTGAGCTCTGTCCATCTGAAACCAATAAAGGGAGACAAAGAGATAAGGAAGAAGGCTGGAGACCGGGTGGGGCAATCAGCCAATCAGAGCAGGTCTATAAATATCTGAAAGAGGTTACAATGCCTGGGGGTCAAACTCTTGTCACTGACATTTTTGTCTCTGGGGGTCGAGGAAGGGCTTGTCTGAAGCTGGTTGGGAGTCCTTTTTGCAAGGCAGCCTTAATAGGAGATATTCAGAAAAGGAAGGAAGCGTAACATTTCTATAAATGTTAAGTTCTGTCCAAGATTTGTCTCTAGAGGATTCAGAAGGCATTCTTCACGTGAAGCTGCACGGGAGGGGTCTTTTCAATCCGGATTTTGGAAACCACATTTAAAAAGCCTATGTGTTGGAGCCAGCATTTTAAAAGCATATCTGAGAACTGTTTCAGAGGAGGACCCACGTTTGTTTCCTCACGCCCTTCAACACCTCCCTGAGCCATTTCCCTGAGATGGTAATAAATGCCAAGGCAAGACAGAGGCGGGTGGATGAGAAAGCCAGCAAACTGCAGCCTCAGGCTCTCGACGTTTGACCTTCTGCTCAGTGTCCCTGGTGGAGGCATCAGCCAGGCCTGTGAACCACATCATCCCTTAACTCAATATATTCCCACCGCGGGGTGTTCCGAATCCCCCAGGCACGTCCCAAGGGAGTCATCACGAAGTTCCCCTGCATTCTTGGGCCCTTCCATGGTGACTCGCGGGAAGGCCTCCGAGCTGTCACCCCTCTCTCAGTCGCCTTTAAACCGAAGGCCTTTTTCAGACAAAAAGATTCCAGGAGCTGCTGCAAGGGTGGAGTGCAAAGTTCCCAGGGCAGGCGTCAGAGCTTCCAGGTTCTAGCCCCAGCTCCGCTGCTGCCCTCCCCTCCCCCAGGCCTGTGACCTCTGCCCTCTGCACTCCAGCAGAAACTAAAGGAACTGCTTCTGACCTCTCAGAACCACCCTGGCTCTAACCTTCCGAGGTTTGCAACTTCCAACCAGCTGACTCAGAGCCTCACTTAACCCTGGTCTGTCTCAAAACCTTTCTTCTTCTAAGGAGCTTCAGATTCTGCCAACCAGAATTACAGCCTGTGGGCTGTCCACAGGGCACACACAGGGGAAAAATCTATAGCTAATAATAGTTCCTTGAATTCATTGGGCACTGTATTCTTTTAAGAGCGCTTTTGAATCCATTACCACACTGAACAAAAGGGAAGTGAGAGACGGGCGGGGCTGAGAGGTTCGTCAAGGGTGGGCACCACTCTCGTGGTGGGGCGCTTCTTGCATCTCCACTCCGTTCAGTGCAGCTGATCCTGGCTCTAGCTGTCCCTTCTCTCTGTGCTTTCCAGCCTCAGCGTGTGTGAGCAGACACAAAAGCTCCACACTGTGGAGGAGAGGCAGCCTGACAACGTGGACATAAATGGAAATTAAGCAACACTTCAGACCCATTGGGAAGCCCAGGCCATAAAGGAAAACTAGGAAAGAGCCCTCCCTTCCCTCTGTATCTACTCGCTAAGTTCTTTGCTCTATGAGATGGTGCACAGGTTTTTGAAACCTTACAAGAAGGCCACACCTGAGTTTTGTACTCCCTTGGATGTTGATCTTAGAAAACGGAAACCAACCACAAAAAAAATATACCTCTGACACATCATCGTCAAACCAACTGTCTCTTTCCCTGAGCTGACAAAAGAGACGTCTGGTCCTAACCAAGATGATGGCTGCCACCTACCACGTCTGTGTTGGTGATCTTGGCCAGCAGGTCTACCAGGGCATCACCAGTCAGCGAGCTCACATCCTCATCCTGCTGGAGCCCACAGATGGCAGCTCCCACACTTCCAGTTGCGATCATCGATGGCGGGTACATGGCGAACTTAAAGTCTGTGAGAACAAGAGGCAGAAGGTCAGGGCACAGCAAGAATCTGGCTCCAGGAGCTCCCCAGCCTGAAGACACTCAGAAATAGGATGGTGGCAGGTCAGCTGTACAAGTGACCCCTTACCCTACAGACGCATCCTCTCTTGACTCTTTCCTTCCCAAGACACCATTTATTTATTTGCCACCTCACTGAGGTGGTTCGATTTGAAAGGAGGAGACTGCGGCAGGGAAGGCAGAGTTTATCTGAGTGCGCACAGTGAATTCACAGAGGACTCAGGGTCCCCAACTCTCAGCCCCACAATCCTGTGAGGGGCGAGTGTGTGCAAGGGACTATTCTCGGCCCTGGTTGGGAGGAAGGTGAGTGAGACACGGTCTCCTCTGGGGGTGACGGCAGGAGCAGAGCAAGGAGGCCTGAGACCAATACAGATGAGACAGCCCACGTGCCACATAAGTGGGACAAACCAAGGGTTCTAGATGTGGGAAGGAGGAGGTAAAATTTTATGAAGAACAGTAATCCTGATGTAATTTTGCCACATTCTCTGGACAGGAATCAAGGACTAATGTAGCCCCAAACAAGACGATTTTATTTAAAAAAGGAAATGAAGTGAGAGAAGCAGCAACAGAGGGAACGAGATGGTGGGAGCCGAGCTTCACACAATTCCCAACTTCTAGCCCAATGCCAAGGACCTCAGGACATTAGGAGAGAGAAGGGGAATTTAATCACGCACCCAAGATTAACCATTGCACCATAACCAGATGGATAAGCTGGTTTAGATTTTATGACTCTTGGACCTAAAAATTCCATTTTCTTGCTGGGAAAAAAAAAAGTGGTTTGCTAGAGAGAAGTGCAAAATGAGAAGAAATTTGAGGGGCTCAAACCCCCTCCACTTCCATTTCTCCAAGAGGATGCTCCTAGCACTAGAGAGCTCAGCTTGGGAGACCAAACCCTCAATTTCCTCTGAGCGCTCCCCAAAAGGGGCTGGTGACCAAGATCAGCCACTGCTCCATCCATCAACACAAGAGAAGGAAACCTACACCTTACTCCTGTTAGTGCCGCTGACAGCTACCACCAAGCAACACACAGTACCTTACACGTTATGTCCCGTTTCAGCTGCACGTCAACCATGTAAGGTACACACAATTATTACCCTCACGTTGTGGGTGAGAAACCTGAGACTTCTGAGGGTCTGAACTGCCCTCTCCCCTGCCCTGTGCTGTACGTTAAAGAGGCTGTCGTTTCATCACTCATCCTATTAACGGTCTTGGAGGGGAGCCCATCTTCCACAGCACGCTCTCTCTAGTTTTAGCATACTCCATTGAGTTTGCTGTACGTAGAGTGGGAGGGGGTCAGAAGGGAGGGTTCAGAGGGAAGACATGGGTCATGTTCCACATTTCAGCATAAATATTAGGCTGAATCTAGAAAAACAGTCAACTTAATATTTCTCCTTCTTCCTCTTGTAACAATGCACCCATGCAAGCACCCATATTAGTGATGTCACCATCCAGCATCAAGTTGGTGGTGGTCTTAGAAACACTGCGGGACCCCAGACCATGCACACGCCCTCCCTCCCGCCTCCGCCAAGACCCACGAACAGAGCGGGCCTGGCCGTCTGGCCAGCTTTCTCCTGGACTTCCTTCCCTTAGCTCACTCACATTTCTACCTCTTGAGGGACATATATTGTGGCGTTCCACCCAAAACCTGCTCTCCACTGACTCCTCCAGTGCCTTATCTATCCCCTTGGCTGGTGACAAAGCCAGCCTCTCTGCCTCCTGCTCTGCTGGAGGTCTCTTCCACATGGGGTCACAGGAGACTGTTTCTCTGCCCAATAACCTCGTTAGCTTTCCCCTGTGACACTCATAATGCAGATGAGGCAGCCAGCCCATGGCCCTGGGCCCAGAGGCACTGGGTGGGAGCATCTGGCAGGGAAGGGCATCTCTGCCCAAGGCCTTGGACCAGGAAGCACACCTCACACATGCCTATCTTTGTTGTTCTGCTGCATGCAAAACCAACTCCTATTTTTAGCAAATTAATTAACTTCTGGAAGCCAGAGAGTTTATATGGGCAGTCCTGGGGTACAGCAGGTGCTAGAGTTGCCCAGAAGGACTCCACCTCCCTTCTTGCTTTGCTAGGAAACTGCTGTGGGGAGTTCCCCTGGAGACACTGTCCCCTGCCCCCAGAATTGGGGAGCACGGTGTGCATGAACATGGCTGCTTCTCGGCAGCTCAGAGTGGCACAGACCAGGCAGAGTGCTCCGGTGGCAAGAGAGAGAGCTGCTGGAAGCTGGGCCAGCCACTGTGCCGTTCCTCTGCCGCCCATACAGCAGCAAACCAGTGTCTTCTCTAGCTCCCTGAGCAACTGCCCAGCTCCTCTGGGTTAGTCAGACAGGAGACAACATTAGCACTAAAGCCGGGTCCACACTGTGGGACCGTGGGCAAGTCACTTCCGCCCTCTGAGCCCCAGAATCCCATTTATCTAATAAGGGGTCAAGTTAGATCAGTGTTTTTCAAACTTCCAGCTGCAACTCATTAATGGGTCATGAAGTTCATTTGTGGGTCATGACCACCATATTTGTTGTTTAACTGAACAGAATAGGATAGAAAGTATCAGTAAGTAATGCATGTAGTAAGGGTAAACACTGTTTTGAGAAACTTTTGTATCAGTTTGACATGTATCGTGAGTTTGTGTTATAAAATGTATTTCTTCCTTCATGGTTGAAGTCAAAAAGTCAGAAGACAGCAGAGTGGCTAATCTCCCAGATGCCTTCCAGGTCTAATTTGCTTTTACTCAAGGTTCTGTACTAAGAATGAATCCCAAGGAAAAGAACAAGAACGAGACAACAGAACACAGCACAGCTTCCCCCCGCCAGCAAAGTCACAAGGCATCTACCCCCCTCAGAGCAGTGCTAGTTCTGCATGGCATCAGGGGCTGCCCCAGGCCCACTCGCAGGGACACCCCCTCTCTGTGGGTAGGGGAAACAGCAGAGACAAAAACACCAGAACGAAACATCTGAAGGGTCGTGTCCTTGTACTAGTTCTATTTAGTCAACTTCTACAGTCACCCGTGGAAATTTCCACCCAACCCATTCAGCCATTCCTGGAAACCTTAAACTTTGGCTGTGTAACCATACTGAGAACCACTCACGATATCCACTTGAGAGGAGGCGGCAGAAGAATCAAAACTTCATGCACATGTGCTATGATCAAGGTTATGATCTTCCAGAAATATATGAATACAAACACACATGCGTACGGATGAACTGAGAGGATACAAAGCAAATGTTTGTAAAATTTTCTACCACTGGGGGGGAAATATGAACGTTTGTAAAATTCTCTTGTAATATTTTATTTTAGCAAATAAAAACCAAGTAAAAACCTCTTAAATCTCTACATCTCTTGGTCAAAAAGGCCAACAAGCCATATCTTGGTGCAGAAGGCACACCCTGGGGTGGGGATCTATCTCCACCCTCAGTTGCCCACCTGGAAGGATGAGACATTTGTGACTTCCTGAGATCCCTCCTTCTCCTGCAGCAAGGTGACAGGCAGTTAACTGACCAGTGACCCGTTCTGACCCAGTTCTCACAACATGTTCCTCCCTGTTCTGGGCAGCATGGATGACTCCCCCCAAGATACACAAACACAGTAATACAGCACGGTGCATTCTAAATGGCTAGGTACATACAACATGGATAACTTCCAAAGAAACCTCTCAAAGAAAGGAGGTGCTCAAGTGGACAGGAGCATTGGAGACCGCGGAGGACTCTCCAAGGAGACAGGAAGGATTTAGACAGCAGAGTTAAGAAGCTCCAAGAATCAGAATGTGGAGGACACAGGCTGATGTCCCTCTACCAGCTGTGTGAAGATGGGCAAGTTACCTGAGCTCTCTGAGCTTCCATTTTCTCACCTGCAAATAAGGATAATGATACCCACCTCATAGGGTTGTTCTGAGGATGACTAAAATAATCCATGTAAAAGTACAGTGCCTGGCTCATGCTAAGCAATAAATGTCAGCCGCCGCCACCACCGTCATCGTCATCACCACCCGTTCTCACCACTGGAACTTCCTGTGGGATGGGGATGGGCAATTCTGACTGTGGGAGATTCTGTTCAGCATCTGCAGGGGCGAGGAGAAAGGTGCCCAGCATCCGCAGACTGCAGGCAGATGCTGAGAGCAGGCCAAGCACACCAAGGCCAGGAAGAATGAGGGCTCTGATGCCTGGAGAATTCTGCACTATCAGTCATGTAGGTGTCCCAGAAACGACCTCATCAAGTCCCCAAAGCCTTCTGCTGGTTTGTCAGGAGCAGAAGCCAGGGGCCACAGGAGAATGAAAGAGCTCACAAACATGCAATGAAGGAAAGACAGAAGTTGGCACCCGTCTTCCCAGTGCACCCCACAGTCATCAGCTGTCTCTCACCCAAAGGCAAGGACAACGCCCACATGCTGGAAGCCTCTGCATGGCCTCCTCCTCCTCCTGGTGAGGATGTGGAGACAAGGGGCAGATGCTAGGGTGATCCCAGCTCTGCAGACAAGCACGGGCGGCTCAAATGCTGTGGGCCCATCCATGGGGTAGTGATGGCAAGGTATTAATCCAAACAACTCCGAATTCATCTATTTCAAAACCCTTTCTTTGACAGGTGAATCAATGAACTCTTGAGAGGTTAAGTAACTTGTCTAGTGTCTAATGCTGGGCCTGGAGTTAAGATCGAGGCTTTTGGACTCTGGATCCAATGTTCTGTATAACTTACCAGAAGGTGACTAGCTCCTCCAGGTCACCTCCCACACCCCACCAAGGAAGACAAGGTCGCCTTTCCAATCAGAAGTGCAAGAAAGAGCCCTGGCTCAGGAGTCAGAGACAGTCCCGGTCCCAGCCATGGCCCCCAGCACGTACAAGCTGCTAACCTCCCAGGATGCCAGAGGAGCTCCTCGGGGCCCCGCTGGACCCCTTAATTTGGGAAAGGGCAGTGAGAAGTGCTCCCAACTTGGCACCTTGGTAAGATTTCTCTGAAGAGTTCTGATCTAAATGGGTTGAAAAACCATGGATTACCGGGTGGGGCAGGCAGCTCAGCCCTGCTTGTTTTGGCTGCAGCGGCGGGGCCTTGAGTGCAAGAGCGGCTGCTGTGCTTCTGCTCACCACTAGGGGGCGAGAGGCACTTGTTCCGAGGCTGAAGAGACCCAGGGAAGCCCCAGCCAGGCATTTCCCCTCTCCTCCCACCAACCTGCAGTCAGGTGGAAGTTTAAAAGGCCAGAACCCTGGGCGCTCATTGGCCAGCAAATGACGTGAGCAGCACACATGTCATCTGCCACCCCCAGAATAGGTCCAGCACGCCCTGTCCTTGTGGGGCAGGACTGCCACAACAAGCTGATGCCAACTTCACTCCAAAGGCCGAGGGGGAAGGGGAGGGGAGGGAGACGGCTGGAGAATGGAAACAGCCTGCTCCTCATTCATCTATAGCTAGACAGGAAGTGAGACAGCCCTCCTCTCACTGCCTGTCCCCACAGGGCGCACTCACAGAAGAACTGAGACTCCCGGTTCAACATACCACTTCCCCTCAGCCCCATGACCTCTCAGCTGTTGAGGCAGCTCAGGGGCTCACAGATGGAAAGGCAGTTTCAATTCTTCCTTCCTGACAACCACCAAGGCCAACCTCCCTTTCTGGATCAAGGGCCAAGTCATCCACCCTCTCTGGGCCACCACCGTCTTGCTATAGCCTGGGGATGAAAAGTCAGGAGACATCTTAAGGCAAAGCCAGGAGGACTCAGAGAGCACGTGGGTTGTCATCAGCACTGGGACCCAGGCCCCGGGGTGGTGAGCCTGGTCCTCATGCGCGTGGCACAAGAGCTAAGCATGGCATCTTGAAGTGGGGCTCCTGGGCAAACAGAGGGAGATGTGGGGTGCCCTGGGTAGGGAGGATGAGCACCTCCTCCCCCACCCCCGCACCGAGTTCAAACTCAATGCCACCGGCTCTTCTAGACTAACTGGAATCATCTGTTGAGCATGATATCATGCGTCAAGAATCTCCCAAGGCCAGAGCGCGATCCTGAGTCATCTCCAATGGTCTTCTTCCCTCATCAGAGACCTGGAGGCTCCACCATCAGGGCTACAACCAGGGGACGCTAAGACTCAGTTCTGCTTCCTGGGCATCAAAACCTCTAGGAAAGGGTGTACCAGGGGCTGGCAGTTATAAAGGTCTCGACCTCACCCAAAGGCCTCCAGTGACCAGGACCGGCCCGGAGAAGGACGCCAGGCAGATGGAGGCAGTCTCGCTCCCAGAAGCCATTTTGGACTGAGCCAGGAAGGGAAGGAGGGCACCTCTGCGTCTCAACACCATCTCACCCTCGGGCCCCTTACGGGAAGACTGACACTCCACTCCCCTTCCTGCAGCCCCTCTGTGCTCTCCTGCACTCTCTTCCCCTTTCACACACACATACACTCTCCATGCAGACGGCAGAACGACTGCCAGCTCTTTCACAACCAGCTTTCCCCATAAACTAGCCACACAGCCTGAGGGCTGGCTACTTTCTCCTCTGGACCCACCGTGGGCCTCCAAGACCCCAGCTGCAGGTGCTTCTTCAGCTCCAGGACAGAATATCCAGAATTGGGGGGAAAGGAGAGAGGCATGAGGCTTTAAGGAACAGGCTGGAGTGTCTCCGGATCACCTACCTCTGGTCCTCCAGTTACCTTGCCCCTGCTACCTGCCAGACAGCCCTCACCCATGCGTCACACTCTGGCCCCAGAGTGTGGAATCTCATCTAACTGGAAGGCATTTCCTCCAAGAAAAACAGCCCTTGGCCTTCACGCTGTCAGGCTGACTGCCATAACCGCCACACAGTGGGGATGCTATGCGACTCAGTCACCCACCCAAACTCAAGGGCAGATCAGGAAAGAAATGCCTTGCAAGACAGGCCCGTCCTTTCTAGACCGAGGAAGCTTCTGAGAGCCTTGCTCTGCTCTGACTGGTCCCCGGCTGAGCTCAGCACTTGGTGCGTGGTTTTCCTTTGGTTGGAGATGCTCTTCCTCCCATCTTTCCCCACCCCCTGCCCAAAGCTAGTTCAAGGCTCCCAAAGGCAGTATCCGCGACTTCCTCTGCCTCCCCTCAGACCTCTGTCGTCAGTCCTCGAATCCCAGGCTCCCTATTCTGGCCCCAAAGTTGGCTGCCACCCCAAGGATCTAGGCAAGGAGGCCAGGAGTGGGGGATGGGATTCTCAATTTTAGAAAATGGACCTTTACCGAATCTGGGGACCTGCCTGTGCCTGGTATGTTCACCCACCATCTCTACCCCGCTCAGAGATCAGAGAGGAGGAACGGGCAGACAGACCCCAAAAGATCTGTCAGTCAAGAGACAAGGTTGAAGCAGAACTCTGGCCATCAACAGCTGGGCAATGGCGGAGCTGCAGGTCAGGGGGTCAGCTGTCCTAGGGCCAGAGAAAAAAGACTGGTTGACCCCTCCCCCAGAGTGAATCATGACAACAGGGAGGAAAGGGACAGCCGGGCCTGGGAGATAAAATGACGAGTCAATGAGGGACTGACCTCTAAGGCCCAGGCCAGACAGCAGAAGAAGGGAGGAAGCAGAAGAATGGCTACTGTCTAAAAGGCAGCAAGCAAGGATCTATGCAGGCTCTGAAGAATGGTCCCAGGGCTGCAGGACAGGCAGCTAACTCTCCCACAAAGGGGCACAGGGCACAGACGCAAGCCGCAAGCCGTGAAGTCCTGGCTGGATCTGGAAGGGCGGGACTAAAGAAAACAGCGAGAGGAAACCTGTGCCCTGGAATCAACCGTAGGTGGCTTGGAATCCGACATTCGAGCCAGCGAAGGCAAAGTGAGAGGTCCTGCCGGAATCGGATGAGGGCAGCTGGAAAGGTCATCATATCCATCTTAGTTGGAACAGTTAACATCGGAAATGGCAGCATTTTCACAGTCAGTACCCAGGCACGTCGTCCTGCACAGTCCTTAGTCTACAAAGTACTTCCTGGCACATCAACTCTTTCTAATTTTCATTTGCCAATCACCCTCAAAAGGCTGTAGGATCATGTATCAACAGGCATGTTTTGCAGATAAAGCAGCTGAGGTTCAGAGAGGTTAAGCAGCCTGTCCAAGGTCACCCAGTGATAAGGAGGAAAGCCTGACCTTTTGACTGTGAACACAGAGCATATACAGTATTGCATATTATATGATCATCTGTACATACTCCTGAATAACATGTAACAAGGTACTGAAAACAGTTAACCCCTGAGCCCACCTACGCAACTCAAGCACTCCTGGCAAACTTGAGCTGAACTCCTCCCCACGCCCCCCGGGGGGCAAAAGGTCTGCCCAGAGGGTGGGTTCGTTACTTAATTCTGATTGTGAAAATACGAACTCCTGACCTCTCTCCCCTGAACGATTAAGGTTCCAGGGTCTCTACCACAGCCACTACCAAGAAAACAACGGTAGAAACTGTCCAAGTTCAATTTAACGAGACAGCATCAACCACTGTCTTTAGTTTATTAGGAAAATGCAAAGCAAACGGGGCCAATAAAAACTATGTATCAATTGTGGGATCAACATGACGGGTGGAAAGCTTTTAACATGAAAAAGCCACTTGAGACTGCTATGTACGTTAAAGGCTACAACCCAAGTCTAAACTCCCCACGTGAAGGGAAGGCGTCAGAACCCAGGGCTTAGAAAGCCAGTCCTTGCTGCCAGCCAGCCAGGTTCACTCCCCCGGCCTGCGGAAGGAACAGCTAGAAGGCTATAAATGCCCCACAGTAAAAAGAATTCCTTCGGCCTCCCTTACCACTTATCAGGGCAGGCAGCACATTTATCTCGACGGTGTGCCTTTAACCTATATTTGCTCCCACCCCCCCACCCCCCAAATTTCCTCTTGGGCTTATCTCCAAGCCATCCTTTTCCTCAAAAGATTAAAGATTCAAACACAACCAGAGAGCAGTATATATAATTTTCAAAGAGTACTTTAGACATCATAAAGAATATTTTAACAGGTACAATTTTTTTTCCCTTACCACACCTGTCCTCGTAAACCATTTATGAGTTCAGCAGAGAAAGAGGATATACCAGCCCAGATAAAGTAAAAAGAAAACAGCCCAAGAATGAAACCTTGGACTCTAGATTAGTGGGGACCACCCCCTTCCCTAAACCCTCAAACCCAAGGAAGTTAGCACCCCGCTCAGCCTCCCCTTGAACACTCCCCAAAGGGCGCTCCAGCCTCCCCCGGCTCCAGGCGGCTCCTACCAGTGGCACACAGAGCAATGAAGGTCTGTGCGTGCTTGCGGATCAAAGGCAACTTGTCATTCGGCTGGGGCAGCTTGCGGAGGATGTGCTCGATGAAGTCGTGAGGGGTGACGGCTGCCAGGTTCCACTTCAACTTCCCCAGCACCACCAGCTCCCACTCCTGGTAAGGAAGGGAGGAAGAGAACAGTATAAAACCCGACGGCTGCCCTGGTGTCAGGGCCTGGGGGTTGGGATACAGACCAGTTTTAACGATGCTCATTAGGACGCTGCTAGATCGTAAGGTGGACCCATTTGTCAAAGTGTCCCTAAAGCTTTGAAGTTGCTGTTGACAGCTCTTCTTATGCTTCAAATGTCAGGCTCCATGGAAAAAAATGAGTGCCCAGGTGGCAATTGCCAAGATTCTGCTTTCTTCTATTTCTTTTCCTCTCCAGCTCTCCCACCCCCACCCAACCCTGACTTCCATGCAATGCTTTTGCCCGCCCATCCAGAAGGTTAAACCCACAATAAGAAACTGCCAAGGTCATTATGGCCCTTTGGTAGTAATTTATTGTCTATGTCCCTATCACTGGATTAATAGGCTTTTTAATCCTCATGGAGAAATGATGCACACAGATGAAGCTCAAAATAAGGTTCCTTGGCCCAAATCCTTGGCAACCAATTAGCTTGCTTGTAGTTGGTGCCAAAAAGTGCCATTTTCCTCTCTACTATTAAAACGTCCCCCTCGACATATAATGCAGTAATCTTGGGGAAACGATACTCAGCCAGAGAGCACCCTTCCACCTAGATGTTGCACAGGCCTGTCATCACGATTGAAGGATCGAGATCATCATTAGTAACCTCACTTTGCAGCTGGAGGTGATTCAGGGCAAGGTGAAGGTGCTTGTCCCAGGTCATGAAATCCCTCAGTCCAAATGCTGGGACAATACAACCCTGTCCTCTGGGGGCCTCTCCCCACAGCCCACCTAGTGAAAAACCTGTTTCTCTCCCTCATGGAGGTATTTTTGGGGAGTTGTGTTCACAGGAAAACAAGCCAAAAAGAAAACCTTAAAAATGTGTGCAATCAGAGGGGAAATAGGTCTATCGATCAACCATCATCAAAAGAAGGAGAGGCAGAGACCCGCCTGTCAGTGTACCCCGCTCTCCCATGCACCCCAAGATGCCTGACTCTCTTTCGTTTGCTGAGCCAGCAACCAGAGTCCCAGCCTCCTCCTGCAGCACGAACCAGCTGTGTGGTCTGGGGTGGCCTCAGCTTTCTCGTCTGTAAAATAGGACTCCTCCAGACCCCACCCTCTGGGATAGAGAGACAGGTAATGGAAAAAGGCACGTTTATTTGGAGCAAGAGAAATGAGCTTGGGGGGGGGTCCCAGAGAAACTGGAGTGTTCTGAAGTATACCTCAGTCCACCATCACCTTGAAATAAATGAACCAAAAGAAAAATAAACTAGTCCCAGTGCTAACGATTTTTTCTTTACAAGCTTTAAAGGCTGCTTTGCCTTTTCACAGAGGGTGAGTAAAAAACCCGACAGACTCCGAACAACCAGGGTCTTCAAAGATGGCTTAGAATTCCAGCCCTCCCTCACGGGGGCATGTGAGCATAAACCACTCCGCTTGTCCCATTATTAAAGGAAGCAGATCTCCCAGAAGAAAGCACCTTTCGGGGCCTCTCAGACCAAACCAGAAGCAGCTGAAATCTGGCAGCGGTTCAAAGGTGAAGTCATTCATGCCCCTCTCTACATTCTGGGCAATTCTATCCTTGCACATGTCTGCCACTAGATGGCAGCACAGCCCCAGAAAGGATGGCCTCTCTCACAAAGGGCTCAGTTCTAGCAGCCAGGCTCAGCCCTGTGGACTTCGTGCAGGCCTTGCCAGTAAGCAGGGGGCGGGGGGCGGGAAGAGGGGGCCCCTTTTTCAAACAGTGCAGAGAAAGGTGTGCAGACCACTGAAGGTGGGCCTCGGAGCCGCTCTACCATTCCAGGGCTGTTGCAACATGGACATCTTAAGTGTGAAGCTGCAGGGAAAAAAAGTTAGATGGGACGGGGGAAAGGTTTGTTGGCAGAAACCCAGAGTCAAGACAGGACCCCCGTGGTTGTATAGCGGTCACAGCCCCACTGGAGCTAGGAACCGAGGCCTCAGATCCCTCCAAAAAATGCCAAACTTTGACTCTGCTCAGAAGTCTAGGAGCTGATATTTAGTGAACAACTACTATGTGCAGGTTCTTTTGAGATGTTCTAGATACGGAAGACGCCACCTTTGAACTCAGGTACTTAGGAGACACACCATGACCTTCTTACCATGTGAGAAGTCAGACTATTTTCTCAGAATTCAGTGATCGAAAAATTGGAATTTAATTAAAATATTGTCATTATGTTCCAAGCCTCCCTTACACACACTCACACATGCGGGCACACGTGCACACGCACGCGCACAACTGCAAATGAATCCCAACACCACAAATCTCCGTGGGGATCTTAGTCCCGGATGTAGCCTCAGTGCTTGGCACAGCAGCTAGCACACAGTAGGGACACACACAGTCTAATGTTAAATGAGATACGTCCCCTAAGTGTGAAAATTCCAGTGTGGGGTAATTTTGCATCCTGAGAATCTGTTTTGGGAGCAGTGGGTAAGAGCACATTAGGCCAGGAGGCAGCGAAGAGCAGGAATGGAGGGAGAAAGGAGACAGTCATTACCAGCAGCTCCTGAGGCTTGATGGAGTTGTCGGTGTAAATGCACAACTTTTCTGCCGTCAGGGGAATGGTCTCCTTGAGCTTGGAGGCTAGGAACATGCAGACAGCACCCAGAAGCTGCAGATGGGTCTTAGGAGTCGGGACCCCTGCCAAGAAGCGGTCCAGGTAATTCATGGCCAAAGGGAAGACTTCCTCTTCACACTTCTGCTCCTCACAGACCTACAATGGGAGAGTGGGGGGGGGGGGGGGGGCGGGGGAGGGGGAGGGAGAGAATAGTATAAGGAAAAGAGAAAAAAAGAGAGAAAAAGCATAATCTATGGAAACAACAAAAAATATTTAATTTTGGGGGGGAGGGGTGTAGACTATGTGATAAGAATAAAGACGAGGAAATTGGGGTGACTCTAAACAGCCCATCCGTGCTCGGGTCTTCCCCGGGAGCCTGAATGAAGAGAGAGGCGGCTTCAGGACCCGAAACCAGGAGTCAAAGAACCGCGCGGCGGCCGCCCAGCGCGACGCTGCCTTTGGCTCCTCACTTCTCCGCTCAGTCTCACTCACTCACTCTCTTTTTTGGATTTCGTCATCTTTTCAAAAAATCAATAAAAATATTCTGGAAGCTCCGGGGGTCCCCTTCTTGGTCCCATCCGGATCCCCAGACCCTGCTCTATCATTCCCGACAATTGGAAAAAATCTCCCGAGGGGTCCCTGCGGCCCAGGCGCCGCTATTGGGGGGGTGGGTGGGGAGAGGTGGGGAAGAGAGGGGGAGGGCGCAGAGGAGGAAGGGCGCCGCAGCCTCGGCGGCTGGAGTCTGAGCATGGGGAGACGGTTTCAAAAAATAATTAAAAATCGAGGAAATACCCTAGAAAAGCCCTTTTGGCGTGAAAACCCCAAAGAGGATGCAGGCTTCCCGAAACGGAGGTTTCGGGTGCCGGCAAGGTCTGTATCTGGACCCCTGGGGCTTCGGATCCCGAGGGGGAACTTGGAGGGGTGAGCGCCGCGGCGGGAGTGTCCGGCGGCGGCCCACAAGGGCAGAAACTGGGGGACGTGGTGACGAGCTGGGGGAAGACGAGGATCGGGGGGCCGCCGGAGAGAGGCCGGGGGACGCTGACCTCTCCTTTAGGGGTGCCCCGATATCCCCCCTACACACACCTCCTCCCCCCTTCCTACCCCACCCAAATCGCCGCACCGAGGAAACTGGAAAGCCAAACCGTAAGTAACCTTTGTGAGGTGGGGGTGGGGGGAGAGGGCACTATTAGAAGTGCGGTGGCCAGGATAATGGGGTGCGAGGGCGAGAGGGCGACGTTTTCCAGTCTTTCCAACCGGAGTTTGCAAAGCAACATGGCGAAACCACGGCAGGTCCAGAGCTGTGCATACGTGGGCACACGGCTTGCTCGGCAAAGATTTGGAGCAAGGGTAAAGAAGTGGTTCTTTTGGGTTCCCCTAAAACACACGTTTCTTCAATATGACTTCCGGGGCTCCTGAATTCCCCATTTCTCTCCTCCTCCCTCCTCCCTCCCCCTCCCCCCTTAAGTGCCAACGCGGAGTCGCGACCACATGCGGGGACCTGAGGCTAGGACGAATCTGCTCTGGCCTTTTGGGGGGCTTGCTTTTTTACTCTTGGGTCCCGATTTCACGCTTCTAGTCCCTTCTTCACTGCACCGAAAGCAGCCGCGGCTTCGCAAAAGACAGGTCGGGATGGGGGTGGGAAGAAGAGGCAGCCACATGCAGGCACACGCGCGCGGGATGCTCCCCCACCCCCGCCCCAGGACAGCCTTGTTTCTCCCAGATTTTCCTCCTCCCTCCTCGCCCCCTCCCCCAGTTAATCTTGCATCCTGCAAGGATCAGAAATGAAGCCACGCGTCTCGCCAAAGGGCGCGGGATAACCTCGCGCAGAGGAGCGGGGCGGCGGGCGCGGAGGCTGCCCTCTTCCAGTTTTAGGGTCCCTGCGTGGGAGGGGGCGAGAATCCGGGTGGGGACAGACAGAGCGTCTGTCTGCGGACCTACCTCCAGCATCCAGGTGGCCACCATCCTGCGCATATAGGGCTGGATGTCCTTCTGCACGCATTTGAAGTAGGAGCACTGGGGAAGGTAGCGCTCCTCGATGGTGAGCAAATTCTGCAAAACGCGGTCGTCGTAGAGCAGGTTGGCGTCCGGCACAGCCCTGCGGACCGGGTCCACCTCGCAGCACAGCAGCTCCATGGCCAGCCCGGTGCCCACTCGTTCCCCTGCTTTCTCCGGACTGGAAAAGTTTTGTTTTATTTTTTTGGAGGGGGAGGGGAGAGTGTTCCCCTTACCTCCTTCCTTTGGCTAAATAGGGAGTTTTCGGGGAAGAGTTAAGAGCAGAGAGAGAAGCAGGAGGAGAAGAGAGGAAAGGGATGGGCAGTGGGAGAGAGCGCCTCGGGGGCTGCTAACTCTGCCTGCCCTCCCCTTCAAACTGGTCTCGCTCTCCCCAGCTCGCTCTTCTCTGCTCTGCGAGGCAGTGACGCAAACTGGCTGGGCAGTTAGCTCTCCTCCCTCTCGCCTCGCTCCCCTCTCTGGTTCCTCCTCCCCTTCCCTCCCCTCTCGTCCCTCCCCTCCTCCTTTCAATCTCTCCCTCCCTCCCTCCTTTCCCCTCTTGTTATTAAGGAGAACAGCAGCTGGCCCGACCTAACTTCAAACGCGGTCCCCCGCCTCCCCCCACCCGTCTCCTCAGCTCTCCGAGGCCCTCTCCCTCTATCCAGCCCCGCATGCCAGGGGCCCCGGCTAGGGGAACCCACCAAAAAAACACCGATTCTTACTTATTCCTTCTAATTTCTCACATTCTGTAGGTGTATCAGGCCAAATTACGACCCTCCAACTTCGGCTTCTTCAAACCTGGTCCTAACACTCCTGCCCATGTATTTAAGATCCAGGAATGACGGGTAGATTACTTGAAGACGGGGTGGGCTCAGACGATTTAGAAATAGACTCCTTGAGTGAAAAATAAGGAGGGTGATTTTTAGAAATTAGCTACTTCGCATCCCCAGAGAGAAAGGTTACGTCCCTGAAATTCATATGTTCCTCATCCTTTCGAAGTTTTTTCAAAAGCCCGATTTAAGGGACCAGAACAGCGTCCCCCCCTGTTCGCCCCCCCCACCCCCCGCAGATGTATGTGGAGAGGAAGAAGAGGAAGGGGTGGGTGTTAGGAGGGAGGCGGCGGCTTCTCCGACGTGATAGAATGTGACCCTGGAGCAGAAGCCATCCTGTTCTTGGGGGCGCTACGGGCGCCATTGGGAGACGCGGCCAGGCTGCTGCAGGCAGGGGGCAGGGCTCCCAGCGGTTCCTCCGCGGCCAGAGGCCACGCAGGAAAAACCCGCTTCCTCGCCCCTGCATCTGCTGACAAGCCGCCCGAGGTGTCAGCACGGAGCGTGGCCACACTGATACAGCTTTCTAGGAAATAGTCCGGGAGGGGGAGGGGGGAGGGGAGGGGAGGGGAGGGGGGCGAGGGAGGGATTAGGTTTGGCTCCCCCTGTCTCCCCCTGCGCATGCAACACCACCCCTTCCTTTCCTCGGAGGCCCAAGGCTTCCACCCTTGGTCCTTCGCCTGCATCCTCGCCGACCCCTCTGGGTTCACGCCTCACTCGCCAGCCCAGACTTTCTCCCTTGGAGCGGGATTGCGGTGGAGACGCTGCCTGCGCAGGCGGCTCTGACATGGCTCAAATGCATCCTCGGGTCAAGGCTGCTCTTACAGGGGATATGGTGGCGTTTCCTCACCTCCTTCCTCCCGCCACCCCCTACCCTGCCTTCCAGTGTTATTTCCCTTTGGGAGGTAGGCGAGTGAGCCCAGCGCCCCCAGCGTGTTGGCCGAGCTGGCACGTGCAGCGAGCATGGTGTGGGTCGGGGCTCTCTGGACACACCGAGGGCGACCGAAGGAGGGTGGCCTCCTTCACCGAGAAAGGGGGCCCGAACCGGGGCGTGCAGAGCAAGGGGCGGGGGGGGGCTGGGTGAGCTGTGCACGCCGTTCCCTGAAAGGAGGGGGGAGGTGGAATAGAGAAGGCGGAGAGTGAATAAACCAGAGGCGCTAGCGATTAACTCTGGCCCCGGGGCCAGCCCCTTTAAACGAGGGTGGGGCGGAAGGGGTGGGTGGGTGGGGGGGAAAGGGGGGGGATATCGCTTTAAAAGGGTGAGTAAGAGTTTGGGGCGCCGTCTCCCCTCCCTCTATTTGCATAGCCAATAGCTCTGGGGCTCCTGCTACTGCGCGCTGATTGTTACCGGGCAGATTACTTTTTTTTTTTTTTTTTTTTTTTTTTTTTTTTTTTTTTTAGTAGGACGCCTTCCCCGCTACATCAAAAGGAAGCCAAGGGAGGGCGGAGGGAGCGCGGGCACTGGGGCGGGCGAGGGCTGGGGAGAGGCCCGGGCGCCTCCGACCTTATCAATAGCCGCAGGAATTAGTATCCAATCTACAGTAGGTAAAGAAAGGGGAGGGAAGGGGGCGGGCGAGGAAAATGTCTAATTGCTGTGGAAGCCATTAGCTTTCGGGAAGGAAAAAAGCTCACTGAAAAACCCAAGTTGCAAACTCAAAATGAAACAGTCCTGCGCAGCGGATGACACTCGGCCGTGCACAGTGTTCCTCGGAATAGAGTCGGTCCATAACAATCGCCTATTGGTTTTAGTCAACTTGGACTTCCCGACTTAAGCTTTTTGAGTCACTCTGGATAAATACATTAACTTACATTTTAAGACCCCATAAAGGAATTACTGAAACTTCACGTCAGGTACCTTGGAGCGGATCAAAGAAAGCTGCTCGGGAGGGGGGGCAGTAAGGGTGAGAGGTATTTTAGAGTATAAATCTAACCCGACAGGCAAGGACAGAAGCCGGCGAGGGCTTCCAGCCTCTTGACATCACTTGATAACTAGCCGAGCGCAGTCTTTTCTCCACCTCGCTGCGGGGAAAGCATCCGAGCCCTGGGTCTCCTCAAGGCGGGTGGGGGAGAGGCGGGTGGTCGTCCTCGGGGTCTCGCCCACCCTGGGGAGAAAGCCTGGGTGGCGAGTCCTCAAGTGTCCTCAAGCCCAGGGCCCTCTCGCCCCTTCCTTCCCCCCCTACCCTGACCCTCGTCCGGCTTTCTAGAGAAATTCCGGCGAGGAGCGGGGAGGGGGGAGAGGCAGCTGCGAAGGGGAGGGGCGCCGAGGGTCGCGGGCGGATGCCCCCTCTCCCCGCGGCCCGCTGCATTCTCCGAGACCCGCGAGTTCGGACGCTTCCCGCGTGGCAGGCTCGCCTCTTCAAGTTCCCCATGCACTTCCCCTTCCTATTACGGGCTGTTCCGAACCTTAACCTCGCCTCGAATCCGTCTCCCGGGAGAGCTTCGGTCTCCGGCCCCTGGGGTGGGGCGTGGCAGGGTGCGGAGGTTGGCAGGAAAGTCTCCCGGACGCTTGGACTGGAAACTGAGTTTTCCCTTTTGGTCGCCACTCGGACCGTGTGTTAAAACTTTAATTTTGCTGTTCAGAAGCACTCCGCCTAGCACGCGGGAAAAGGCACGTTGCTTTCTGGGCAAACGTGCGCATTTTCTTTGAGTGTAGACTTAGGTTTAGAGAAGCCCAAGTGCCGAGGCTCTGGCTTGGAAGTCAAAACTGGTCACTGTGGCGGGGAAAAAAAAAAAAGAAGTTGGTTCTTCTATATCCCTTTTTCATCCCTCAAAGAAAAAAATATATATATTGTGTCCTTTGTAGCATCAGTGATAAACTTGAGAGAACGCAAGTTTTCCGGGACTTTCATTCCCTCCTTGCCGGCTCCCCACCCCCTGCTCCTCGCGTTTTGCAGTTTCGGTTGGAAAGTGTACAAAACCCTGTAGGTGTAGGTGCAGCCCGGTGTTGGGTGTTCATAGGCACATTTCTGCAGGAACCTGCAACGCTAGGCACACGGACTCCCAAGCTCACCTGGCGGACGCCGGCCAGCCAGGTGATCCCGCCGACGGCTCAAAGCTTCAGAGCCGCGCGAGTTCGGGCCCCGCCGCCTCCGCGTCCGGGCGCTCAGGCCGGGTGGGGGCAGGGCTGTGAGTTCAGGCTCAGGAATGGGGGCCGTCGCCCTCCGCCCAATTCTCCCAGAGACTAGAGCTGTGTTTGTGTTTTTCCACTGAGGGATGGATGGTCAGACAATCAAAGCCGAAAACCCGACGGTTACTTAAAAGTAGATGGGAAGTGTCCCAATGCCGGCTCCGGGCTCAGGGAGTACCGGGAAGGACCTAGAAGAGGTATAGAAAGGAATTGGGAGGCCATAGGAAGGGAATAAAAGCAAATTAGAAAAACGTGCGAAAGGAAAAGAGGGACAGGTCGGCCACTGGACAACAGAGGGGAGGGTGGGTGGGGACGAGGCGCCGGGAGGCTCCAGGACGCCGGGGCACTGCGATTCCAGGTGTGGCTGCGCTTGCGGGACCCTCGCACCCCCGCCTGTGCGTCCCCGGGCGCTCGGGACCCTGCGGGGCAGAGTCGCCGGCCTGCGCATTCACACTGCCCTCCCGGCGCTGGGCTTGGAGCGGGGCTGTGTGCCGGAGGCAGCAGACGCGATAGGCGTGGGTTCGGAAGGCGCGCGTCTGCCGTCTCTTCACCCACCTAGCATCTTACTCCCCTCTCTTGGAAATAAAATAAAAAATAAAAGACCCGCTTCCCCCCTCTTCCTGTCTGATTCAGCTGCAGGGCACGCCTCACACGGCCGAAAATAGCTCTGGAAATGCATTCGCTTTATGAAAGTGAATTTTCCAATAAGATTTGGGGCGGGGGGCGTCTGGCTTGAGGCGTTGGCGGGGCCCTGCCTCCCGGAGGAAAAGGAACAGGCCGACTCGGTCCTTCGCCCTCCCCAAGGCGCCCCGGGAGGGGGCCGCTGGGCGGCGGAATCGCGCCTCCGCTGGGGGAGCCACCACGCGGCTTTTTCGCGGAATTTTGACGTCACCCACACGTGGGGGAAGGGGCTGGGAGAGCGAGAGGAAGCGGCGGGGGAGGGGGCCGGGCGGCGGCGGCGGCGCGCCGTGTCCGGACCTCGCGGTGGGCGCTCGGCGCGGGCGGTCGCGCGGCCCGCCGACTCGCGGGCTGCGAGAGGCTGAGCTCGTCTGCCCGGGAGCCCGAGCGGCGACCCTCCTCCCAGGCCCTCCCCGCCCCGCCCCGCCATCTTCCACCCCCGAGGAGTTTGTTTTTTAACTTTGAAATCGGGAGCAGCTCTGGGCTCCCGAAAAAGCTTATTTCTTGGATGGTGGTCCCGTTCTGCTCGCTAGCGACGTCAGGCTGAGTATCGCGATTGCCGGTCGCGACGGCCCGCCGCGTAGCGGTGTCCCCTTCCTCCAGGGAGGGAGGCTGGAACGTGTTTATCTGTTCCTCGGGTAGTGAGTTCTGCATTGATTTTTACACCAGAAGTTTTTCACGCGCGACTTATTCCTCCCTGCCCCACGCCCCATTCACTATTTAAATACCAGCTGGGTCGATGGATGCTGTGATAATTACATGTAAGATCTATCTCCCGAAGATGGAGATGAGCAATATTGGAC